CCCCCCCCCCCCCCCAATCCTCTCTAATTTCATACAAGTTCCTCAACTTTTGATAATTTCAGTTTTTTCAAGTATTGATCATGTCCAAATTGGTTCCTTATCTTTCAATCTTGATCGCTAGTCCTCCAACTTTTATTTTCTTCACGTTTGGTCCTCTAAGTTCTAGAGTGTTCACTTTTGGTCCCCAAAATCTCCAAATGTAGAATAATTGTAAATTCATCCAATCATAAATCCCAAAGCTGCCAATCAAATCCGAACTTCTGGATAGCTCTGCAATTCCATCTTTTAAGTTCCTATTTACCTCCAAATTCCTTCCTTTTTGTTCCGTTCATCTTAACGTCGGAGTTTTTACCTATAAGCATAAATATTCAAATATTAAGTAGATTTAAGGGTCTAAATACGCAACACCCTTATAATTATTTACCTTCGTAGATTTTTGGATATTAATTTTGAAACTTGTTAATTCAATTTTATTTTTTTTACAATAAAGATAAATATGTTGTAGTCCTTTTTGGTGAACTTTCATTCAAAAGCATAAAAAAACAATCATGCTTAGTGTACATCATAGTGTACATTCGGTTACGTGTCAAACTATCATTTGACAGTTTAAAAAAAATAGATGATGATGCCACACATACATAATGCGGTGTTCATAACGGTGTCCACCCCCTCACATGGAGGGGGATCCACTTCGAATAAAATATAATATATCCTAGTGGATACCCATTTATGTGAAGGGAGGTACACCGTTATGAACACCGCATTATGTACAAGTAGCATATAGATTTTCCACCAATCACATCTTACCAACAAGGATGACGTACACTATAATGTACAAAAATAATGTACAAATGACTTTATTTTTTAAATAATCGTAGAGTGAGCAAATTTATTTTCTTAAATATCATCTTCGCATACACCTCATATAACCTTCGTTCTTTTACCATTAAAGTCAAGCCACGATCAAATTCTTTATAAATAATGTTGACACCGTGCATAATTCTCCAAAAATAAATGGGGACGTATTAAAATATCAATTTAAAACCACTCATCTAGAAGCTTCGTTTTGTAATGTTTCTTGAGGCAACATTCTCCATGCATGGGTTACGAAGTCAAATATGAGTTGAGATCTATTGTCCAATTTTTGCTGTTGACCAAATTAATTATTGATACATTATTTTAAATTAACATGTCAAAAAAAATTCTTTTTTTTTTAATTATTCCTTATGCTTAAACAACAAAAATTGGACAGTAAATCTCAACTCTACAAATATAATGGATAACATCGATGTGAAGGTTACAAAACAATTAACGGGGAACATAATTGATTTGGGTTTTGTAATTGGCATTAATATCCGCAAGAAACCGTCACTTCTGGAATTTGGACCGACACAACATACTCTCACAATTATTGCTAAAACGCACTTATGGGAATGCGGCATACGCGTTATTTTGCTAATTGTTATCAATTAATTAGATTTCAAATTCTTAGTATAAAAATAAGTACAAGATATAGTCTCTGTTTGGAAGAGATTAAAATCAAATTTTTGGCAGATTTCGATAAAAGTTGATGAAATATGTTGGTGAAAAATTGTGAGTCCCATATTTAAATATGTGATTAAAATTAAATTTTGACTTCAATAAAAATCTAGATTTTAATTTTTATCAAACATGAACATAATAAATCAAACCGGTATATACATCTGCTATAGAAAATGGTGGTGGCAAGAAACGCTCAATTCTTCATAAAACATGTTTGGTATGGTGTTCGCTTTTGCTTATTATAGAATAACTTCATGAATAAGTCACCTGAATTTTTGCTTGAAAACTAGTTTTTAAAAGAATTTCCTATCATGGAAGCACTTTTAAAGGAAATCACATTACATCAACTTTCTCTAAAAGCTTTTTTTAATTAGAAAAAACTTCATAAGATTAATTAAACGGGTCCAAAAACAATTTTTGAATCTCAAAAGTTCTTTTGGACTTCTCAAAAGTCATGTCAAATAATCCCATAATCTTTTTAAAGTTAATTGATCCTCTTCGGATTATTCATCCAATCCAATGTCGTCAAGTTTTTTAAAACATCATATTCATAGCTAGTTTCAGGTTCCTGAAAGAGTTGGTACCTTTTTAACCAAGCAACTTACCACGACAAGAGAAGAGATGATCGTTAATTCCAGTAAAAAATTTGAAATTACTAAGATTTTCCAATACATGCAGCGAAATTCACCAATTGTCAACTATTTGGCTCGAAATGTTAAAATAGCGTATATATATAATTTTGGATCAATCGCTACACAGAATAACTTGGGTCTATTTAGTATGATATACTAAAAAGAATATCGATTAAATTGGCAATAAAACAAAGGATTATTCTTCTTGTACATTATGGTGTACATAAGGGTGTCCATTATGAACACCATTATGTACACCATAATGTACATGTAGCAAAGCCCTAAAACCAATTATCATTTCATGCATCATAGTAACATTTAATAGTGGTGTTAGGCCGTGATGTCAGATCCAACACAATACATTAGGCTATGATGGGTTTGGCCCATTTTCCTATACTATTGCCCATTAACGTTAACTGATGCAGCCCAATGAAACCCAAGCCTAATATTTTGTCCAAATAGAAACAGGTCTCGTAAATGCGACTTTAATTGTTTTATCTTATAACTAAAAATGCAAGTTATTCTGGACCATTGGATCAACTGCTGCCTCAATCTCGATATATTCTTTTATTTTGATTGAAACCCTAATTACTTTTGTCATTTCAATCTTCTCCTTTGATTTGAGTAACTCTTTAATTTGTTTAGAGACCGATTTTTCTTGGTGAAATCCGGTGAAAGATTGCATTTGTTTGATGGCAATGTTGAGTTGTTCTGGTTCATAGAAGAAGCTGCATGTTTCCTGTGATTGTGAGGACTTTTTGGTGAATCTGGATTTTTTCTGCGTTAACACAGAAGAGTACAATATCTTTGAGCCTTCGATCAAAGATATCTTAGAGTCTAGTGGTTTGGATAGTAAAGTGTTGTAAAGAAACATGTCGATCTATTTTTTTGTACATTTGTTTTGTATAATAGTGGTATCAGAGCTTCTTAAGGCTATTCTTGGGACTTTGACTGAAGTTTGAACCCTAGAAAATCAATTTTCAGCGTTCTTCCTTTTGATCTCTTGGATATTGAGGAACCCTGATCTGAATTTGTTTCGATTTGGAGGTTATACTATCAGAGCTGTACTTTAGTTGTGTAAATTGATAAGATGTTCGTGACTCTTGGGTTTGACCTGAAAAAGGAACCCTAAACTTGAAAATGTTTGGGTTCTGGTCTACGAGTTTGTAATTTGGTGGAACACTGTATCCCTGCTGTGACGACCAATTCTTACTAGCACTTATACCTGGTCCTTTGGTCGTTAATTTTTTAACCATCCCTCTAGTTTGTGATTCTTAATCCCTATACCCCACTCCCATATCTGCATATCCTTGTCTATGTCACTGATATTGTTCT